CCCCCCCCCCCCGCCCCAGCTTGCCCCTGCCCTCCTCACAGCTCCATGGCCAGGTAGAGGTGGGAAGGGCTCTCGTGGACGTCCTCCAGAGCCACAATGTTGGGGTGGCTGACCCTGCAATGGCAATAGAAAGGCCCGTATGGGCCACCGCAGCCCCCTCTGGGCCTCTCGGGGCCTCGGAGTGCTTCGTCCCGGGGCCCCAGGGAAGGCTCCCTCCCTCTTCTCTTCCTCTGGCCTCTGCCCCGCTTACCTAGCACAGGCCACCTCTGCCTGGTCCAGCAAGGCAGAGCCCCGGGGCCAGGCGGTCGTGGGGATGCACTGAAGGCACAGGCCTGGCCAGGGGCGAGCACGCACCTGCGGAGCACGGCGATTTCGTTCTCCACCAGGGCCTCCTTGCCTCGAAGGGCCTTCTTGGGGATGCACTTGAGGGCGACGAGGTGTGAGGAGCCCCGCTCCTGGGCCAACACCACCTCAGAGAAGGCGCCCCTGAGGCAGAGAGGGGGAGGCAGGCAGGGAGGGGGAGAGGCGAAGAGGAGGAAAGGAGGGGGCGGGGAGGGAAAGCAGAGGTGCGGAGGGGGAAGGGCCCTCCTAGCTGAAGAAGATGGGGAGGCCCTCCCGGTCCCAGGCCACCCATCCGCCCCCCCACACACACACTCACACATTCGCTGACACACACACACACACACACACACATCACATTCATTGACACACACACACTCACGAGCCGAGCTTCTCCCGAATCTCATAGACGCTGCTGATGTCTTCCGTCTGTTTCTTGAGCAGCAGCATGTCTGTGGGGGGTCGGGGAGAGATGGAGGGAGGCCCCCTGCGTGAGGCCACCCTCAGTGGCAGCCCTGCTCAGAAACGCGTAAATCGCCCCCAGCCCCAGGCCGGCAGCATTTCGCCCCTCCCCCACCGCCCAGGCCCGCACTCCCAGGTGGGCGACTCCCAGCGAGGCCACCCCAGACCTTCCTCCCCTCCCAGATACGAGGCCGCCATCCGGAGCCCCCACCCCACCCCCGCTCTGGCACCTCGACGGCGATCAGCGCCCAGACACCCCTTCTCTGCCTCCATACAACCAAGGCAGCCGCGATCGGCCGGCTTCCAGAAGGCTCCGTGCACCCCCACCCCGTCCCCTCTGGGCCCACCCCCATCCACGGCGCCCACAGACGGCCCTCCCACACCCCCAGGCCTAGACCTGTCACCCAAGGCCCAGCGCTCACAGGCACTCGCGACTCAGGCCACCAACCCTCCCAAGATGCACCTGCGACCCCCGCGCCCAGCCGCCTGCCACGGCCACGGCCGCGGCCACCCACGCGGCCGCCCAAGTGCAGCCCGGCCCTCGGCGCCTCGGGGCGGGAGGGACTCGGCAGCCTGGGCCTCCCACGTCCCGAGCTGCGTGGGCCACGCCGGGCTTGACAGGTGTGCGCGGGGGCGCGCGGGGGCTGCGGCGGCCGTGGCCGGGACTCCCACGCGCCCCCGCCCGCGCGCGCCCGCGCCCGGGAGCGCCGGGTGCGGACCTGGAGCCGAAACTGCAGCGTCGCCTCGCGCAGTGGCCGCCGCGCCGAGCCCCCCGCCCGCGCCCCGCCGGACCCGCCCCCTCCGCGCGCGCCCCCGCCGGCCGCTGGCGACCGAGCGAACGTGCGGTGTGGCCGAGCGCCGCCGCGGCGCTGCAGGGCGCCTTGTAAGGCAATCGGCCGGCGCGCCGGCCCCCACCGCCTCCCTCCTCGGTCATTCGTGCCGGTTCCCGCCGGCTCCCGGTCCCTTGGCAGCCTGGCTGGGCCGGCCCCAGGGCCTTTGCACCACCTGCTTTTGCTGTCCGAAAGTCTCTTCACCCACATGTTGACATAGCTCGCTGCGTGCCCTCAGGTCTCTTCCCTCGCGCCAGCCCTGCCACTGCCATTTCTGCCACCCTGGCCTGAGCCACCACCTGCACTCAATTGGAGGACAGCAACAGCCTCCCCATTGGGGTCCCTTTGTCCTCGGACCCCACCCTTCGCCCCTCCTACCCACAGTCTTTCCCACCTAGCAGCCAGAGCATCTCCTATATCTGGAGATCGTTTCACCGGACCTCCGGACCCTTCCACAGCCCTCCAGGCCATGAGGCAAAGCACAAGTGCTTACGGTGGCCTAAGGGCTCTGCATGATCGGTCCCCCTTCCCTATCGCTGCTCTGGCCCCTTTCCACCCAGTCTCCCGCTCACTCAACTAGCTCTAGCCAGCTCCAACCACACCGGCTTCCTAACCGGCCCTCAAACACACCACACACGCACCTGCCCCAGGGCCTTTGCACTCACTGCCTCTCTGCCTGGAATGCTCTTCACTCAGATACCTGCTTGGCTTGCTCCTTCACTCTGTCAGTCTCAACTCAAATTTCACCTCCTCAAACAGGCCTCCGCTGCCCACCCACCCCAGTCTGTAGAACACCACCCTGCCTGCCCTGTCTTCAGGAGATCCACCACTGCAAAATCACCTTCTCTGTCTTGTCTTCCTCATCAAAGAATCCACTCCCAGAAAGTGTCTCTGCTGAACCAGCTCGGGAAATTAGTGCAACATTCAATCCTTCGTGCAACAATTAGTTGATTCCTCCCATCCGGTCCCATCTCGGTCTGGCACTCCTCCTAGGGGGTCCAGGCCCTGCCAGGGATGGGGGGACAGCTGTTCTGGCTGTTGACAGGAGTACATCCATACAGGTCAGTGCTGCACAGGCTTCATGGAGTCACGGGAACTGCCTGCTGAATGCATCTTCACAGGGGTGTGTCTGTAGTCCTTGGCATGACACAAAGTCTCTTTTTTTTTTTTCTAAAATTTTTTTAATGTTTTTTTTTAATTTATTTTTGAGACAGAGAGAGACAGAGCATGAGCAGGGAAGGGGCAGAGAGAGGGAGACACAGAATGTGAAGCAGGCTCCAGGCTCCGAGCTGTCAGCACAGAGCCCGACGCGGGGCTCGCACTCATGGAACGTGAGATCACGACCTGAGCCGAAGTCGGGCGCTTAACCGACTGAGCCACCCAGGCGCCCAGTCTCTTCTTTTTTTTTAAGTTTATTTATTTTGAAAGAGAGAGAGAGTGAGCATGAGCAGGGGAGGGGTGGGGGGGGATGGGGAGACAGAATCCCAAGCAGGCTCCGTGCTGTCAGTACAGAGCCAGACACGGGGCTCGATGTCACCAACCATGAGATCACAACCTGAGCCGAAATCCAGAGTGAGACGCTTAACCTGCTGAGCCCCCCCCAGGCGCCCCTGACACAAAGCCTTTCAAGAGAGTCCATGGGGCCGACAGAGGTTTTTCAAAATCATCTTTCCAGAACTCAGCTCCCACCTGTCTCTGTCCAAAACGTGGTAAGCCTGAGATGATCCCTCCAGTTCCTGCTCCCCAGCCCTTTCCCAATCGTCCCCCCAGTTAACTCAAGAAGGTTCCAGGGGTCTCAGCCCTCGGCAGCATGTTCATTCCTAGGAATGGAACCGATACTGAGCCCCGTCCCACACCGTCCGGACACCTGGACTAATAATGGACGCACTGGAGACCCATGTTACTTGCTTGTTTAATGGTTACACGTCAGCAGGTCGGATCCAGGGCTGCTGTTCTGGTCAAGCCGGAAGGAATTTTACCAGAGCCCCGTGGTCACAGATTGGAACAAGAAGTGTAATTTATATACATTTGTGTTTCAGAGAAATACAAAGCACGAGGAATAAAAGCCCGGAGAAAGACAGCACAAGGGGATGTCTCTGAGGGGCAGCGGACAAAAAGTGGAGGCAGGAGGAAAAGAACTAACTTCCAAAGGGAACATGGAAAGAGTTTGAGATGGACACTGGGATCAGTTCACCGGGTGATTTTAATGCCATTGGCCTCATGTCAAAAGTGGTATCACGGTTGTTGTGGTTTTTTTTTTTAACAGTATTTATAAGACACCAGAAAGCACACCCTTTGCAACTGTTTGAACATCCATTGAAATATCGTAGACGTCAACTTCAAAATGCACACGTGTGTTGAGTGGTTGGGATAAAGAGCTTTTCAAAATCCTTTCAGGGGACCCCTTAGAGAAAAATTAGCTCAGAGTTGACCACAGGCCTCAATGTAAAATACCAAACCTTTAGAAGAAAACAGAGGAGAAAAATCTGTCTTAGCGTGGGCTTGGCGATGAGTTTTTATTTATCTATCTATCTGCCTATTTATTTATTTACTTCCTTCCTTCCTTATTCTTAAGAAGGCTCTGCGCTAGGCATGGAACCCAACGCGTGGCTTGAACTCACAACTCTGAGATCAAGACCTGAGCTGAGATCAAGAGTGAGACGCTTAACCAACAAGCCACCCGGGCGCCCTGAGTTTTTAGATATAATATGGAAAGCATGGCCCGTGAAAGAAAATGTGAGAAACTGGACTGTATCGAAATTTTCAATGTTTGCTCTGCAAACAACACCGTTAGAGAACGAGAAGAAAAGCCACAGGCTGGGGGAAATGTCTGTAACAGACAAATCTGATAAAGGACTGGTATTCAAAATAAACAAGGAGCTCTTAAAACTCAACAAAAGAAAACAAAACAGCTCGATTAAAAAATGGGCAAAAACAAAGAAATGCAAACAAGTAAGCATAGGAAGAGATGCTTGAGGTCCTACTCCACAGGGAAGTGCAAAAAATATTTTTAATGTTTATTTATTTTTGAGTGAGAGAGAAAGAGTACGAGCAGGGGAGGGGCAGAGAGAGAGGGGGGGACAGCAGAGAGCCCTATGTGGGGCTCCATCGTGACCTGATCGTGACCTGAGCCCAGGTCTGACAGTTAACACTTAACCGAGCCCCGCAGGCACCTGGGAAGTGCAAATTACAAAACTAAATGTGCTCTTCCCAAATGAGGGAGCAATCGTGCTTCTATTTACCTAAAGGAGTTGAAAACTTACGTCTACACAAACAGCAGCACGGAAATGTTTAGAGCAGCTTTGTTCATCATCACGCCAACACTGGAAGCCACCCTGATGTCCTCAGGTAGGTGAATGGATAAAGTAACTGCTCGGTGAAACAAGTCCGCCTGAAAACAGCAACATACTGTAAGATTCTCTTTATGTGACATTCCAGAAGAGGCAAAAAAGGTAGAGACAGGGACCACATCAGGGGTTGCCAAGGGTTTGAGACAGGGGAGTCCCGGGTGGCTGGGGGAAGCCTAGATGTTTAGGGCTGGGAGGCCGGACACCCTGGAGAAGTCAAGACCCAGAGAAGTGGACAGCAGAAAGAGTGAAGCTTAACATACACAAATTTTAAAATAATCCTTCAGGAAAGTGGGGGATCCCAGGAAGGAATGCAGACCCACCGAAGAATCTGGGTGGATTACAGATGCATGCAACCATCTTGCTGAACGGGATTGGGGGAAAGGGGCTGATGAAAGTCACTAGGAAATGAGGGGATTGGACGGGGCGGGGGCGGGGTTCACTTTAAAGTGGAGACACCTGAAGTACAGGCACGACCCCAGCCCGATGACCGAGGTCGACATACAGCGGTGAGTCATGCTGGCAGCTCCTCGTCTCTATAACCATCACCCGGGCTACTCGTGACAGAAACACCAGACAAACCAAACTGTCCAGGCGGTTAAACATGAAGAAGGTCTAAGAGGAGACGTGACAACAAATGCAGTGTGGTCCCAGGGCAGAGCAAGGACATTAGAGGCAAGCTGAGGAAATCTGAGTTCTGACTACGGACTTGGGTTAATAACTGGTTGGTTATTGTAACAACGCGTAGGCAGGGCGCCGGGGCTCAGAGGCACCCGGTTCGAGGGCCCCAAACACACCAAGGTCAGCCCCTCCAAACTCCAAAGACAGAGAAACTAGGGGTAGTGAAACAGGAAAGGGACTTAGTTCGGTGAGGCCAACACCGGGAAGACAGCGAATACTTCCAGGTTTGTAGAACAAAAACGTGGGGCGGAGGGAGGCGGGTGCGTGCGGGTGGGCAGTGAAGGTCAAACGGATTGTGTGTTCCGGGGCGGGATCTTGCTGGCTCGGGGGCAGTCCCTCTGCTGGAGGGGGTAGTTTCGGTTCCCATCTGGGGGTGCTTTGCCAACAGACCAGCTGGAAGGGAGAGGCCAACTGGCAAGGGTGAGGTCAAAATGGAGCCGGCCGAAGCCCTCTGTCAAATACAGCACACTAATGTGCAGTCTTGCAACAGGGGAAGCTGCC